ATTCCCGGTCTGGGCACATGCCTGGGTTGCCAGCTTGATCCCCAGTAGGAGGCGTGCAGGAGGCAGCCAATGATTCTCTCTCATCACTGATGTTTCTATCTCTCTCTCCCTCCCCCTTCCTCTCTGAAATCAATAAAAATATATTTTAGGGGAAAAAACCTAATATTTTTCCTTCTCAGCTGCTTTAATGTTTGCAGTACGCTAGAAGGCGGGGGGGGGGGGGAGGAGACAACGTTCTAAATAGATGCATTTTTTAAAAATGCACTCAGACTTGCTTCACTCCCTGCTCATTATCACTCCTAGGAATTAACGATGCCGGATTTTCCTTTCTTCTCTGCTGAAGAGCTTCCCTGGGCTCCTCGCGCTGGGACACATGGCTGGCATTGAAATGCTTGTGCAAACTTCCCTTCCTTTCACATTCCCTGGCTAGCTTGGTTTTTAATCTCACAACCCTGCTTTCCAAATGAGGTTTCCATGGGAGATGCGTATTTATCATTCTTTCCCCTCACCTGCCTCCCTCCACAGGCCTCACAGACTTGAAGGGGATTTCAAGTAACAGCCCAGCCGTCCTGGGGGCTGAGGGCCGAGAACCGGCTGTGGAGGCCCTAAGTTGGAGCTAGCTTTTTGATCAGTTTCTTCCCATATCAGTCACTGCTGTTATCTGCCCAAGATCAACTCAGTGGGAAACTTTCTGGAAGGTGGGGGCAGAGATATTCAAAGAAGGGGAGGACTGGTGATATGTTACACAAGTCACATATTCTGAATCTCGCTTTTCGTGTCTCTGGGAAGAAGAGAGTTGGGTCAAATTACTCATTCTTTCTGCATTTCTTTTTTCCTACGTATAAAAGTGGCACAATTGTTGGAGAACATGGGGTCGCGAGAATGAATGAGTCTTATTGGTGCCCTCCTGGAAGCAGTCTTCCATGAGGCACTCTTAGAGGCTGTTTACCTGGCGTCCCGACACTGTGGGAGGTACCGGAGCTGCCCTTCCGAAGACCTGCCTCTTCTAAACCTAGCCGCCCTCAGAAAGGAGAGACACCGCAGAGTGTCCCTGGACCAGCAAACCAGGAATGTTCGGCCAATAGACACCATCCACTGACTCCCAACAAGAAGAAAGATCCAGGTTGTCCTATAAAAGGTTCCTTCTAAAGATCAATTCCAGCCCAGCCGGTGTGGCTCAGCGGTGGAGTGTCCACCCAGAACCAAGATGTCCCTGGTTCATTCCCGGTCAGGACAAACCCCCGGTTGCTGGCTTGATCCCTAGTAGGGGCTGTGCAGGAGACAGCCGATCAATGATGTTCCTCTCTCATCGATGTTTCTATCTCTCTATCCCTCTCCCTTCCTCTCTCTCTAAACATCAATGAAAACATATTTTTTTAAAAAAAATTCCAACAACTATCACTGGGTGGTCAGGGTTAGAAACTCCTTTAGTTTTCTTGGTTCCTTTATTTCTTCTCTTTCCATCTTTGCTTTTACTGTGGATCACTTTGGTCATCTCAAATATTATTCAGTTTTAATCATCTCAGCCGTTTCTTAACTCAGCAAATGTCTATTCTAGGTCAAATGGTTCTTTAAAATTTCTTTAGGAAGGAAGGAAGGAAAGAAGGAAGGAAGAGAGGGCGGGAGGGCCGAAGGGAGGGAGGGAGAGAAGGAAAGAAAAAAAGAGAAGTCCCTTTACTTGGTTGTGATCTGATTTTCCGTTTCCTCCTTTGTGAAAGGAGGTGGTCCCTACCTTGTTTGGGAGCACAAAACACCCCAAGCTGTGACTTCAAAGTAACACCAGCCTGCCACCAGCTTGCCACCAGCCTGCCTGGTGGAGAATGAGGGAGGTTGAGTCCTGAATCCACAAGCCGGCTATCTCCTGGGGTTCACAAGTCCCCAGCAGGCTGACTTCATCTAGTGTTCCCACCGGAAGATAGGGCGCATCTGCCATCTTTAGCCGTTTTCAGAAACTACCCTCCCAGGTCAAGCTACACCGACCTTGGTGGTGGGTGGTTGGTGGGTGGGTGGTTTGGGGGGTGTTGTCCTCTTTGTTTTTTGTCCCCCGTGGAGTCTCCAGCAGAGCAATGCCAAAGGTGCCAAATTCCTGAGGAACCACCCTAAAAGGCCTCTTCCCGGAAGGATCCCCTGTTGCCAAAATTTCCTGAGGAGGAGATACCTCCATGATCAGACACTGTCGGCCACCCTCCTCATCATAAAAGCTCACTTGCAGTAGTCACACCTACTGAGCAGACTATGGACAGTCCTTCCACTTTTACTTCCACCTGCATTGCCCCGTCTTTTAAGTATAAAAACTTTCTCTTAATTAAAATGGTCCTTCACACTTTTTTTTTCAATGAAATCTCCAATGTTCCTCCCCCATCACTATCAAAATATCTAGCTCTCTACCGCTCACCAGCCCAATTAAAAATAAATAAATATGTAATAATAAGCAAAACCAAATTCCCATCCGGGCCCACGGTGCCTCCCCTCCCCCAATCAATCCCGTGTCTTGCTTTAAAACTTGGGAGTTAGAAGGTGATGGCTAAAGTTTGCTTCCCTGAGTTAGAAGTCTGCTGGCATCTCCCCCCGCAACCCCCCTCCCGTATGCGTACTCTTTCATTATCTCACGTTTCCCACAAATAGCGTCCATTCTCCATAGGGCCATGCTCATTGTCAGTAAGCAGTGATGGGTTCATTTTTACCGCCGCTTCTGTGGTTAAAAACCGCCTCTGGAGCACTTTTCCCTGCCGGAATCCCTCTTCCTCCCGCCCCTCTGCAGCCTAACTGCAGGAATTCAGAAGAACTGTCTGGAAACTGATGTGAAGGAGCCTCGGGATCCTTCCCCCCACGGTAACCCTTGAGCTCCGGATGCCCCTGCCCCTGCCCTCACCCCCACCCCCACCCTACCCCTACCCTACCCCCAGCCCTCGGCGGTCAGCCTGACGCGGTGATCTCAGCGGCCAGTAGAGGGCACACTTACTTTAACTTTCGCAAACCCAAGCGCCAGGGCAGCCCGGAGTTGGGGGGAGGGAGGGGGGCGGGGTAAATACTTTGCAGCAAAACCGTGACCAGGGATTGGTGGCTCCCCGCGTTTGCGGCAAAGGCCTGGAGGCTGGAGCAGTTTGCAATCCTCAAAGCTGAATGGTGCTGCGCGCCTGATTTGGAGGAAGTTACTACTCACTTAACAATCGAACGCTGAGCTGCAAACTCAATGGCTAATAATTTACCTTGAATACAAACACACCGTACGCGCGACCCCCCCCCCCCCTCCGAATTTTTTTTTTTTCTGTTTTGGAATGGAAAGGGGGTGGGGTGGGGTGAGAGGTGGAAAAGTTTACTTAAAATGCCTTTGGGAGAAGGACCAGGGACGGGAAGATGATGGCCTTTGTGTTTAATGCCCTAGGACAGTGGTCGGCAAACTCAGTCAACAGAGCCAAATATCAAATATCAACAACGATTGAAATTTCTTTTGAGAGCCAAATTTTTTAAACTTAAACTATATAGGTAGGTACATTGTTATTAACTTCATTAGGGTACTCCTAAGGCTCAGGAAGAGCCACACTCAAGGGGCCAAAGAGCCGCATGTGGCTCGCGAGCCGCAGTTTGCCGACCACTGCCCTAGGATAGTGCCAAATCGCAAATTGCGAGCGAATGTGCGTTAAATATTAAATACAGATCCACTCAGGCAGAGGACAAATCATATGTCGTGTTGGGCAGCATTCTGGGTCGACGTGTACATGAAATGTACATAGATGTACGCGGGTTATACATACGAACTTTCACCATGGCATGCAGAACAAAAATGTAGGGGCACTGAACTAGCAAATTACTCCTGCCTGAAATTCGGCCAATTTTCAATTGGCTCACGCCCCTCTCCCCCCTCCCAGGGAAGTGATACTTGGCTCCTCTCCTTTGATCAGAACCAATGCATTATTTCGTGCATGATCATGATTCCAATAATAAAGGGAAAAGAAGGCTCGGAAAGGAAGTTAAACGTCCGGTTGGTCCAAGGAGGAAAGGGTTAACGGTTTCCCTCACTGGGGTCTCTTCTGATACTCCAGGCAAGGTCTGCGAGCTCGACTTCCCCCCCCCCTTCTGGGGGGTCCGGTCTCGCGGCTCTGGCCACCCCTCCCCAATATTCTCCCGTCTGGCGCCTTTGACTTCCCCCAAACCTGGGAGCCCCGGACTGGTGCTAACTGAGCCACGGGCGCCAATGGGATTTTCCTGAAACCTGGCTGCGGAATTGGAACTCCGAGGGGCACGGGGTGCGGTGGGAGTACAAGGGGGTTCATTCTGCCGGAAGGCACCCAATAGAGATACCTCTCCACACAGAAAGCATAACACCCCCCAACAAATGCAATGGGCATTTATTCATAGCGCGCTCTCCAAGCAGACGTGGCAGTGCGCTGCGGAGTTATTTTAATCATCCCGGGCATCGTTTTCCTCCCTCTACCTTTTATCGCTTGGCCCCATCAACACTAATACCTCGCACACACTCAGCGCGCGCCCACAAACACCCTTTCTTTCCTCCCCTCTTCATAGGACTTATTCCAAGGGCTGCCCTTTCCCCAGCCTTAGGGAAGCGCCCGGCCGCCCGGGACGTGCCTGTCGTGGCCGTGGGCACACGGTGTGTTCTCAGCGTCGAGAGCTCAGCTGTTCCGCCTGCGATGATTTCAGCTCGCAGGACGGGTGAGCGGCCTGTCAAACTGTCAAGAAGAGCGCGGCGCCGGAGGAGCCGCAGAGAAAGGCACCGGGTTTGAACGCCGGCGAGAGAAAATGGAAGGCGCGCTCAGTTAATTCATGCAAAGACCTAACTCTATTTACATCCGATCCCTCCGCGCACCAGAGTGCTGGGCTGCAAGGCTGAGTCTCCTCCCCTGCCCTCCTGCACAATCGCCCCTCCCGGATTCCCAAAGCCGGGGGAGAGCGAGAGAAAAAAGATCCTCTCTCGCGAATCCCCGCCCACCGGCCCTTTATAGGCCAGGGTCTGCCCCACCGAGAACCCCCGGGCTGCGCTTCTTGCGGCTGCCGCAGCCTCCGCGGTTCACGGGTCCCGGCCGCCGCCTTCCTCCTTCCCCTGCCCCCTCGGCAAGGGCAGGGCCACTCGAGGCTTGGCGGGAAAAAGGACCGAGGGAGGGGTCGAAATAACCCCATTATAAAAGCCGGCTTATCGGACTCGCTGTAGTAATTCCAGCGAGAGGCAGAGGGAGCGAGCGGGCGGACCAGCCAGAGTGAACCTAGCGAGCCGGGCGAGCAGAGGCGCGCTCCGGGCGCTCAGGGCTGAGATCCGGAGTGAAAGCGGGGCTTCACCTCCGGCCCAGCCTCCTCCTTCTCCCCACCCTGCCCGCCGACCTCTGCCAGAGATCCGCCACCCTCGCCGCATCCACAAAAACTTTGCCCATTGCAGCGGGCGGGCACTTTCCCCTGGAACTTACAACACCCGAGCGAGAGAGAACGCGGCTCTCCAGGAGCGGAGATCTATTTGGGAAGACACTTCTCCGGGCCGCTGCCTACGACCCGCTCCTCCGAAAGGCGCTCCTTGCCCGGTGTTGGAATCTGGATTTCCTTCGGAGAGTGGGAAACCCGGTAAGCCCCCGGATCTATTTGTGTTTTAATTTATTTTTCTACCGCTTTATTGATGTGATGAGTCCAATACCCGAGTTGGGGTGTCTTCTCTCCCATCCCGGTCTTATTGACACTTCTCGGAGTAGTTGTGGGAGGTCGGGGTGGGGTGAGGACCGAAGCAGAACTGGATGGGGTACAGTGAGTTGTCAAGATGGGAGGATGGAAAGCAGAGGGAAAACGGGTGTGCGTTTTTTTTTGTGTGTGTTTTTTTTAAAGCCTTTGGAGATTTTTGCCAATGGATATTGACGCAGAGCCCAGCGGGCTGAACATTCCTGCTTTATTGCATTAATTGCTTTGGTTTTGGGGGTGTGGGGGGGAGCTATGCTTCGTGGGGAGCCCTTTGCATCTCGAGCTCCTTGGAGTAAGGATTACTGTCCTTATGTGTGATCGAGAGAGCGCCGCAGCTGCTGACTTTTCTTCGTCTCCGAAAGGGCATTTAAATTTCAGCCTTTTTTTTTTTTTTTTTTTTACTGCATTTCTGACAGCCGGAGACACTGCGGCGCGTCCCGCCCGCCGATTCCCCCGGCGTTTCCAATTCGTCCCCTGCTCCTTCTCATAAGTTGGCATTTTGGCTTCTAAAAAGAATAATAAGATTAAATATCTCGGCGTACCAGGGTGTCCGACGTGGTGTTGGGGAGGCGCGGGAGGCGGAGAGGGAAGGCTGGGGCAGGGATGTGTCCGATTCTCCTGCATTCAGTGACTTAGGAAAACCAGGGCAAACCTCCGCACCCAGCCTTGGCTCCCCGGCCGCCTCGGGGTCCCCGCGCCCCCGAGATGCGGAGGGACTGCCAGGAGCCGGGCTTTTTCCGAACAGCTGCTACCCTAGGCGGCCGAAGGGAAGGGCGCCCCCGCTCTGGGCGCAGAATCGCAGCAGGGTCTCTGGCCGCAGTTGCGCTGCCGTAT